TATATTTGGCTTAACTACAGGGTGACCCTTCTACTACATTCAAGGCAGAGGAACAGTCAAAATAAAGCCTCTGAAAGCCACAATACAGAAAGAAGCAGCCACCCCTCATGAAAAAAAAAATCAATTGTAATAATGGAAATTGTGTTTAACAGTAACTCTGAAGCCATTTGTGTAATGGAAGAAAATGCCCTCTGATACCAAAGCAGTATACCAGGATTAACACACTGCTTTATCCTCCTTGATGTAGGAGGGCTAAACTAGATTAACCAAGGGGCTCTTTATAACAACTTTATCTATCACTAAAATACCCTGGAGGTCAAGGATACAACCCTTTTCAGCTAAACTCACTGGCTGCGATACTTATGAGAGATAATGACAACACAGAAATTACTAATAACACTCCTGAACACACAAATTAAACATATTGCCCTTCTGGTGTTTTGGATAACAATTCCCATCACTACCAACTTTAAAGCAGAATGGTGAAAGGAGTCCAAAACATTTTGAAACAATTAGACTGGAACATAAGATAATAATTCCTGTATATGATAGACAAAGATTTAGCACAGACATTTAACACCTAGAAGTGAAAGATACACTTTATATGAAGATACTTTAGTCATATTGTTCCATCTCTCATAATTTTTTGTATTTATCACTTTTTCACCCACCAAAGCACCAAAGTTAACACATAATAGGTAAGAAAACACTTTTAAAATGTCAATTAATAAAAAACCATTTGACATTATTTTTAAAGCTCTAAAAGAGTTTTTAAAACATGCATAATGGACACTTTAAGATTTGAAAGCTAACTAATATTGCACAAAATTTCACTGCCCAACAGAAATGCAGAAAGCTCTGTAATGTGTATCTACCAGCCTAACCTCATGTGGTGATAAGACAGGACCAGAGTTCGACTAAAATTAACAAAGTGAAATTTAATAGGGAGAAATGTAAGATACGACACTTAGAAAAAAATGAAACACAGAAATACAGAATTTGTGACACCTGGTTTGACAACACCAAATGTGAAAGGGATCTAGGAATCTTAGTAGATAAGTTGAGCATGAGCCAATGGTCTGATTCAGTAGTTCAAAAAGCCAATGTGATTGTACATTGCATCTAGATCACTGGTTCTCTACCAGTGGGTCCCCTGGTGTTTTGGCCTACAACTTCCAGAAATCCCAGCTGATTTACCAGCTGTTAGGATTTCTGGGAGCTGAAGGCCAAAACATCTTGGGACCCTCAAACTGAGAACCACTGATCTAGATCAAAGGAAGTCATATTACCATTCTATTCTGTGTTGGTCAGACCTCACCTGGAATATTGTGTCCAGTTCTGGGCACCACAATTCAAAAAGGATACTGATGAAATAAAACATGTCCAGAGGAGTGTGGCCAAAACTTTAGCAAGACATCAGCATTGTCTTGCTAAAGTTCCATTAATTGAATGCTAGTTGGTACTTGCAGTGATAAAGAATCATTATAACTGTTTAAGCAGTGTCACTTTGAAAGATCTGAAAACCATGATCTATGGGAAACAGCTTAGGAACTCCGTATTTTAGCCTGGAGAAAGTTTAGCGGTAGTATGATAGCCATGTATAAATATTTGGAAGGACGTCATATTGAACATAGAACCAGCTTGTCCAGTCACTGCATTTTGTACTAGCTTTAGCTTCCGAACACTTTTGAAGGACAGCTCCATGTTTACCATGTTACAGTAGTCAAATTGGGGCAGAGTGGTAATAAAATATGATCCATTATGGTCAAATCTCAAGGTACAGCTTAAGTACCAACCAAAGCTGGGCAAAGACACTCTTCTATATATTTTGGCACCTGGTGGAAATATAGATTCTATCAAGAATTTTCATTTTTTTTATAGTTCGAAAGAAAAGGTTCTGGCCTTCGAGGCTGTAAAGGAACACAGCAGAGAGAATCTTTTTAGAGAACTTAGTGTATGTGGTAGATTCGGGAAAATATTTGTTCCTATACATACATTTAATTTATGCACCTGGGTGATCAGAAACTCGACTTTTTGTAAGGGCCCAAATGACAGACAGGTGAATTAAATCCACTTGGGCCTGGGACTGAGTCTATATTCTTTCCACATGGCATCCTATCTCAAAAGGCCAACAATGAGCTCAACAATGAGCAAAAAAGCCCCACATCCAAGATTATCCTTCCGTGCTTGACTTGGAGACAGGAAGATAAGACATATGTCTCTCTTTTGCCATACTTCTGATTCCCAAATATATCTTGCTCTCATTGCCAGAAAAACAAGAAGACACCTCCAAAAATACCCCCTCAATAAAATGAGCATGTTACTATAATATGCTTAACATTACATGTCATTTCAAAAGTCAGCACTGATTTTTCAAAAAATGCCCCATTCTTGGGTCTAAATCTATGGGTCATTCCCAACTAGAGTAAATCCACTGAATTAATGGCACTTTACATCAGCATTGTCTTGCTAAAGTTCCATTAATTGAATTCTAGTTGGTACTTGCAGTGATAAAGAATCATTATAACTGTTTAAGCAGTGTCACTTTGAAAGATTCAATTTCACATTTAACAAAATGGGATTAAGAGTTCCATCTATCTCTCCATCACAGTTCTTTCCACTTATCCAGATATGCATCCATCTTCGCCTTCTCTACAGATGATCTCAGCAATTCCTGTATCTTAGAAAGCCATTCGAGTACCCCACTGGCTTTCTAAAATGGATTTGGGGGGGGGGGCACATCACCTTCTACCTTGCACACCATTTTACTCCATAACATAATTTCCAGCTCTCTGGCATTAAGAGGAGGTGGACGTGGTGGTAACATGAAATGGAATAGCTGTAAAATAGCAGAAGGGTGTCAAGAAATAACTGATATTTATGCATCAGAGCTATGCAGGAGAGCATCAACAGCAGCACCGAACAAGATAAGAGCTGGGTGAGCAGGAGGATTGACACGGCACCTGCCCACAGTCTGGAGATCAGCTAACTATCCATGGCATGGAGACTCCCACAAGTTGCCAGATAGACATGCATACAAATGCTGCACACAGACACATGCTGCAGAGAAGTATAAAAAGATGAGATCTCTTTATCATTGGACAACCCTGCTAAAGGCACAACAAAAGCATTGTCTTATGGCCCATGCAACATACAAGTGGTGGGGAACTTCCTCAATTTATTACACAGACTTCCTGTACCACATGTGTCGAAGTCAAGGCCTGCAGCTCAAATCCAGCCCACCATGTCATTTTATGTGGCCCTCCAGTGATTGAAGTTGTCATTCATAAAAAAACTGGGGACCCAAACTGGAAAAAAAGCTAAAGAGCACCAAACACTATGTAAAAACTATAATTGGCCTTCTGCATTCACAGATTCTCCATCTATAGATTCAACAGCACTTTGAAGGCAACCATAAGACTGATGTGGTCCTCGATGAAAATGAATTTGACAGACATCCCTGTCCTATAACACTGCAAGCTAAAACTGTACACACAGTGGCCACAGTAAGACACAGTGCAAGTTTTTTTACCATTTGGGTGCTGTGAGTTTTCTGGGCTGTATGACCATGTTCCAGAAGCATTCTCTCCTGACGCTTCTGGAATATAGCCATACTGTTCATGAAACTCACAGCAATCCAGTGATTCTGGACATGAAAGCCTTTGACAACACATTTTTACATCTAAAAGAAGAAGCTAGTGAAGCTTTGAAAGCCAGCACAATATATTGTGCACTCGGGGGCTGCCCAGATAAAGGTAGCACAACAGGATAGATTTTGTTGGTTTTTGAGTCCTTTCAGTTTCAGAACTACTTTGGCTTTTGCCCTGAATTCACAAGACAGATTTTGATTGAGACAAGATTCAACCTTCTCCTCTTTTAGAACACTGAGGTCAGGGTGACAACACTTGAGAAGCCAACCAGAAAGGAGGGCAAAGAAGTGCTTCGAACCATGCGCAGAGCTGGCCTTGCTTCCTCCCTTCCTCACACATATTGCTTCCTGGAGGCCAGAAAGAAACCAAAGAAGTCAAGAAGTCTCACACATACAGATTCCTCTCTAGAGTAGGCATGGGCCAACTTATTCCCTCCAGGTGTTTTGGACTTCAACTGCCACAATTCCTAACAGCCTCAGGCCCCCTCCTTTCCCCCCTCTGTTGCTGTTCCCTCCAGGTATTTTGGACTACAACTCCCACAATTCCTAACAGCCTTCCTCTACCCCCTCAGCCACTGTTCCCTCCAGGTGTTTTGGACTTCAACTCCCACCATTCCTAACAGCCTCAGGCCCCTTCCTTTCCCCCCTCAGCCGCTTAAGGTTGAGGGAAAGGAAAGGGCCTGAGGCTGTTAGGAATTGTGGGAGTTGAAGTCCAAAACACCTGGAGGGAACAAGTTCGCCCATGCCTGCTCTAGAGACTACAAATCAACCATAGGCAGAGTGCACACACCACTTCCTCCCTTTCTCAACATTGCTTCGTGGGGGCTACAAAGGAGGATAAGGAGAGCAAGCCACAAACCTCCCACGTGTCTACATGACATATGAGCAGCACCGGAGGCGCATTCACCACCAGAAAAAGAGAAATGCCAAAGTAAAAACATGCAGCCAGGAGCCCCCCCCCCCCCCCCCCCCCAAGCGCCTTGCAATTAAAGCCTTGCCTCCCCAAACTTCTGCATTAAGTTTTCTCCACTCTGGAGAGAAAGCGAATGGCTGGCGAGTAAAGAAACGCGGGCCCAGAAGGAAGATCATGATGGTAATGAAGATGGTAATAATGATAAGCATAATGACATGGTCTAGTGGAGAGGGTTGAGCCTCCAGGTCAGGAGCAGCCAGCCACCCAACCGGCTTGCTCAGCACAGCCATCCACCTGTCTCCGGGCTGGCTCAATCCTTCATCGGCGGCACCTGAAGCAAGGGGCCCAGGGCAGGGGGGCAGATGCGCGAGAGGCGTCCACACGCCACCCACCCACCCTCCCGCTCCCTCCGCTTGGCGCAGCGGCTCTGCCACTCACGGGAAGGCGACGCGCCAGAAGCAGCAGCAGCAGCCAAGCCGAGAGCCAGCTCGCCCCAGCTCTGCAGCAGCCAGAACCAGATCTGCCCTGAAGTCTTCCTCTCTTCCTTCCTCCAGCCTTCAGGAGACCCCGTTGGCTTGCGGGCTGCTCGGCTGACTAACCCCGGCTGGGAAAGAGGCAAGCGAGGAGCCGAGGCGGAGGAGAAACCGGCCCTGGGCGTCCCGAGGCTCCGCCTGGGCCCCTCCTCCGAGGCGGAGTCAGGAAGGATGAAGGGGCGCCGAGGCTCCGCGGGAAGGCCAGGGCAAGGAGCTCGGAGGATTCTCGTTGCAGGAAGAGAGATCCTGCCTAACCATTAGGAAGGACTCCCTAGCTCAGCGTTTCTCAACCTGGGGGGGCGGGACCCCGGGGGAGGGGTCGCCAAAGACCATGAGAAAACACAGTATTTTCTGTTCATCATGGGGGTTCTGTGTGGGAAGTTTGGCCCAATCCTATCATTTGTGAGGTTCATAATGTTCTTTGATTGTAGGTGAACTATAAATCCCAACAAGTACAACTGCCCCCGGTGAGTTAAAGCGCTGAGCTGCTGAGCTTGTTGACCAAAAGGTCTCAGGTTCGAATCCAGGGAGTGGCGTGAGCTTCCATTGTCAGCCCCAGTTTCTACCAACCTAACAGTTCGAAAACATGCAAATGTGAGTAGATCAATAGGTACCGCTCCGGTGGGAAGGTAGCATTGCTCCATGCCGTCATGCCGGCCACATGACCTTGCAGGTGTCTATGGACAATGCAGGCTCTGGCTTAGAAATGGAGATGAGCACCACACCCCAGAGTCGGACATGACTGGACTTAATATCAGGGGTAAACCTTTATCTTTACCTACAACTCCCAAATGTCAAGGTCTGTTTTCCCCAAACTTCACCACATTTGGGTTTATAGAGCATTTGTGCCAATTTTGGTTCAGATCCATCATTCTTTGAGTCTGCAATGCTCTCTGGTTGCAGATGAACTACAACTCCAAAATTCAAGGTCAATGCCCACCAAACCCTTCCAGTATTTTCTGTTGATCAGGGGAGTTCTGTGTGCCAGGTTTGGTTCAATTCTATTGTTGGTGGAGTTCAGAATGCTCTTTGATTGTAGGTGAACTATAAATCCCAGCAAACACAACTCCCAAATGACAAAATCAATCCCCCTCCCCCACACAACCCCACAAGAATTCCAATTTGGGTACATCGGGTATTTGTGCCAAATTTGGTCCAGTGAATGAAAATACATCCTGCATATCAGGTATTTACATTACAATTCATAACAGGAGCAAAATTACAGTTACGAAGTAGCAACAAAAATAATTTTGTTGTTGTTGGTCACCACAACATGAGGAACTGTATTAAGGGATCGCGGCAGAGTAGGTCGATAACACAAAATAAATCGTATGACGTTTATTCATTCAGTCGCTTCTGACTCTTTGTGACCTCCTGGACCAGCCCATGCCAGAGCTCCCTGTCGGTCGTCACCACCCCCAGCTCCTTCAGAGTGAAGCCAGTCACTTCAAGGATACCATCCATCCATCTTGCCCTTGGTCGGCCCCTCTTCCTTTTTCCTTCCTTTTCCCCAGCATCATTCTCTAAACTTTCCTGTCTTCTCATTATGTGGCCAAAATACTTTATCTTTGCCACTTATACCCTTCCCTCCAACGAGCAGTCGGGCTATATTTCCTGAAAAATGGACTGGTTGGATCTTCTCACGGTCCAAGGCACTCTCAGAATTTTCCCCCAGCCCCACAGTTCAAAAGTGTCTATCTTCCTTCGCTAGACCTTCCTTATGGTCCAACTCTCATAGGTTACTATGGGGAATACCATTGCTTTGACTATGTGGATCTTTGTTGCCAGTGGATGTCTCTACTCTTCACTATTTTATCAAAATTAAATAGTCTGGTTCATTCTATATTGTATATAGAATTAAATCAATTTAATGTTTGCTTCTCATAGACTTAGCATGGGGATTTGGTTAACCAGTTAAACTTCATGAGTAAACCAGGTTTTTTAACTTGAAAATGTTCAGGGGGCTTTGAACCCCTAACCTCCCCCTCTCCCCAGCTACAGCCCTGGAGGCAAGCCCCCTGGTGTGGTAGGTTTGGGCTCTGGGGGGAGAACTAGGTCTCTGAGAATGTAACTACACTGCCAAATTAATGCAGTTTGACCCCACTTTAACTACCATGGCCCAATACAAACTTCCCTGGCTTGAAAGGGAAGCGGACAGAGCAGGTTTGATCTCTAGAGGAAGAACTAGGATGTCTCTAAGGGTGCATCTACACCAGTAGTTCTCAACCTGTGCTTCCCCGGGTGTTTTGGCCTACAACTCTCAGAAATCCCAGCCAGTTTACCAGCTGTTAGGATTTCTGGCAGTTGAAAGCCAAATCATCTGGGGACCAAGTTGAGAACCACTGATCAACATTGTTGAATTAATGCAGCCTGACCCCATGGCTCAATACAGTTTTACCAATGACTCCTGGCTTGGCTGGGCAGGTGTGGTCCCTGGAGGGAGAAATGGGAGAATCCTCTATAACCATGCTTGTCAGGAGATGCTGAGAGTTGTGGTTCAAAAATAGGTGTCCCAGGATTTGTCCCAGGGTTGGAGGAGACCACAGGGGACATCCAGTCCAACCCCTTGACATGCAGGAAAACACATTCCAGGTACTTGAATTGTCATGGATCAATGCAGTCCACCCAGGGTAGTTGGTATAGTTCTGTTAACAGAAAACCCATCTTCAAAATGAGGCAGTCAGACAACAAACTCCCACAAAAGTGTGAAAGAAAGCTCTTAATGTGCACCAGTGCTCTGTGGTTTGGATCATTACCATCCGGGCTTCAAACTGGTTCCAGGATTTCCTGTGTAATCAGCTGCAAAGCAAAGCCAATTTCTTCAACGCTATTTGAAACTCCATTAAATGGCCATATATTCCAGTTTCCGCAAATATTTCCCAAATCATTTATTTCTGGGTTCCTCAACAAGAGAAAAAAGTGAGCATCTCATAATTCATAAGGATAGACTATGTGCTATTTTAACAAAGAAATACAGTGTGAGTATCCCTTTGTTCATGCACAAAATGATTGAAAACAGGGTATAAAATTACCTTTGGGCTATGTGTTTAAGTATATATGAAACATGAATGAATGTTATATTTAGACTTAGAATCCTATCTCTAAGATATAGTTATAAGACATGCATATGCAAACAGAAATATTCTAAAATCTTTTCAAAAATCCAAAATATTTCTGATACCAGACATTTTGGAACATTTATAACAGGCATTGGCAAACTTGGGCTCTCCAGATGTTTTGGACTCCAGCTCCCACAATTACTAACAGCCTCAGGCCTTTTCCTTTCCCCCCTCAACCACTTAAGTGGCTGAGGAAAAAGAAGGAACCTGAAGCTGTTAGGAATTGTGGGAGTTGAAGTCCAAAACACCCGGAGAGCCCAAGTCTGCCCATGCCTGATTTATAAGGTCTGGTACTTTAATGTGGCATTTAGGTAGAACACAACCTTCTTAATAGCCACTTCCTGCTTTTGAGTGCTGCATGCCATGAATGTCAACAGTGCCTTATTGCTGTTTTGAAAAACTGGCCAACACCAGGGAGAAACCAAAGCAGGGCAGTTTTCCAAGAAAAAGCCCTATTAATCTATTTCAGGAATTAGAAAGGTGCTGAGAATCCTGTGTGACTTTCAAGACGGACTTTTTTTAAGCATCAACTTTCATGAATTTCAACCCACTTCTTTGGTGCTGAAGGAGTACAGTAACTAAGGGAAAAGTATTTTTTCCATAACCTTGCACAAATTTCCCAAATATAAACAGCCGAGAAAAAGTTCCTTTTTTGGAATACATGCTGCAGAATCCTTCAGGTAGTTCACATAGCTGTTAACTTTGGTGATTGGGAGGTGGAGGTGGGGATAGGAATCTTGGAGCTGTTGTGCAAAAAGTAACTTCTCCCTTGGTCTGAATATTATAATGTGAACTTACACATGAAACACATAGGGGAAGGAAACAATCCTAGGCATACTTACATGACAATAAGTTTTGTTTTATACTATCCAGGGGAGAACAAGGGGCAGCAGCAAGTTCCTTCCCAGTTGATACTTGACACAAAGTACAGTCAGCCTTCCACACTTGTGTGTTTAATCTTTGCAGATTTGATTATTCATGGATTTGATTATGGTGGTTTCTGTAAGAATCTCTAGGACCCTTAGTGCTGCTCTATTGTTAACCAACCATATTGTTAACCAACCAAGGCTCTGCAGACTAATTCAGCCTGAGAAGTCAACCAAGGCAGAGCACTTGGTGAACCAACCTGGACACAACATATTATTTGAGAACACAGAAAGGCTGGGCCACCCTAACAACCACCATGCCAGACTACACAGAGATGCCATTGAAATCCACAAGCATGTGGACAATTTAAACAGAAAGGAGGAAAACATGAAAATGAACAAAATCTGTCTACTGGTATTTAAAAAAAACTATAAAATTATGATAGTAAATAAAGAACAACACTAAAAAAATGGGAATTTCATACAATAATCAATCAGTGCCAGCTAACACCACCCAATAAAGGATCCTTCCAGGCAGTAATCAGCCAGACTTTGAAGCTACAAGGCCATTACATGCTACTTACGATGGCCAATTGCAACATTCACACTTGCCTCAAGCAGACAAGAATTCATTCTCCTATCCTAGACATTTAATAGCTATATAAACCTCCCTTGTCTAGTTTCCAACAGACCTCACAACCTCTGAGGAAGCCTGCCACAGATGTGGGTGAAACATCAGGAGAGAACGCTTCTGGAACATAGCCATACAGCCCGGAAAACTCAGGCCAACCTAGTGATTCCTGTCATGAAAACCTTCGAAAACACAATTTGAGTTCACTTTAGCTGCCAGGGCTCAATGTTATGCAATCTTGTGGTTTGTAGTTTGATGTTCACCAGCCCTCTTTGGCAGAGAAAGTGAAAGACATTGTAAAACTACAACTCCCAGGATTCATTGGCAGTTAAAGTGGAAAACTCACAGCAACCAAACATAGTGCTTTTATTTGTTGATTTTGCTCTCCACTATGATTAACTGAAAAAAATACTTTCTTCACATACATCATAACTAACCAAAAATTTGGAATTAAATCAAGATTGCAGTCATCAATATATTTAATGAAAAGAGCCTCCAAAAGACACTTTGTGTCTCAATCAAATAGATAAAGGTGG